AAGCGGCCTTATCCTGAGTCAGACCCCTGGACCGCCTTCTCTGGCGGGCAGCAGCTGCCCAGGGTCTCAGGGGGAGGTCTCCCAGATCACTGACTGGCTGCCTGGCCCTTTACTAATGGGGGGGGCTGAGTTTGGCGCCTTCCGCATGCCGAGCGGATGCTCTGCCACTGAGCCACTGGTCCCCTGCCCTGACGGGGTCATCTTGCTCCTCGGAGGCCCTGGTCCACCCACGCTGCTCAGAGGCGGCATGGGCGAGCACCAGAGACGGGGCCTTCTCTATCATGGCTCTCAAGTTCTGCAGCGGAGTCTCCAGAGGTTCATCTGAAACTAAATTTACAAGCTTTTAGGTGTGAGGCAGAGACTTTTTAAAATGTTGCAAGCCTCTTAGCTCCTCTTCCTTTGTCGAGTTTTATCAAAAGGACTTTGGTTTTATCCCGTTGTCGTTTTAGAATGCTGCTCCTGTTGTTATGCTGGTTTCAAGATTGTCCCAGTTTTTAATCTGATGCTGTTTTGAAGTGTTTTTATTTTTCCATTTTGATTTGGTGTCTGCTGATGTTCTTACCTTGTTGCTTTTTTTATTGTTATAGAAGCCTCCTCGGGAAAGGTGTGTGGTGTGTGTGTGTGTATGGACATTTCAGGTGGAGTGCCAGAGGCCTCTGAGGCAGAGGCTGAGCCTCGTTTAGGGCTTCCCGGGGGTGGGGTGGGGGCTTTGCATGTAACCTGGGGTCTCTGTGTTCTAGGGATGCCTTCTCAGAAGGCGCCTGACCCTCAGTCTCCAGCCCTCGAGAAGAAATGCAGCCGCCAAGCGCAGCCAAAGCAAGAGTGGGCGGTGCCAGAGCACAGCTTGTGTCACGTAGAGGTGGAAATCGAGATGGCTCCTCCAGGAAGTCCAAAGCCAGGAAGCTGTGAAACCGGAATCATCCGCAGAGCGGTGAAGTACTCCGAGACTGACCTGGACTCTGTTCCCCTGAGGTGCTACCGTGAGACCAACATTGATGACATCTTGGCTGAGAAGGACGAAGTGGATTCTGCCATCGGGAGCCAGAAGGACAGCGAGAGCAATCAGAGCTTCCCCGGGACCTTGGGGAAAGGGAGTGTTGTCCCAGGGAACCCCTTCACCGAGCACAATCCGGAGGGAGGTGGCAAGGACGTGAGAAATGGGATGCGGGTCCACGAAGACGATGAGGTGTTTGAAGCCGTACAGCAGCAGCCAGAGAGGTGAGGGTCTCTGTAGTGTGGTCCGTACCCAGCATGATGCTTACGGTGAGCAACATTACCTGTTTTGCGGTAATGAAGCCACAAGGCATCACTGGCTTGGGAGGATTATGCATCATGTTCCCGCCACGTCAGGCCAGTGGTCATCTGGAGTGAGTGCTGGCCCCCTCGTCTGAGCTGCAGTGGAGGGGGGGGGGGAGGAGGAGGGAGGGAAGGCCTGGGAGGGAGTGGTGGATATTCTGAACAAACTGGGTGGCGACGTCTAGCAGAGCAGGATGACTTGGAGTGCCGGTAAACTTAGTCCAGCAGGCCAAAGAGTAACACACACACACACCCCAAGCCATTTCACGTCAGGTTTATGTTTCCCTCCCCTTTTGAAAACCAGGCTTGGGTTCCTACTTGGAACAGAGTGTGCATTATATTCTATAAGCAGGGACTTGCAGCTGGCATAGCCTCTCATTTTCCCTTACCCCACTGTTTCCTCTTCACCTTCCCCGAAAGGCCTCATAGCCTCTCCCCTTTTCCTGCTTCTTTCCCTCTTTTCCGTCAACCAGCCAACCTGTCTTCAGCTTTCCCTCCTCCTCCTGGCAGCCTCTCGCCAGGGAATCTGGATGGCTGCCTGGTGCCAACTGCTGGGCCGGTCCCAGTTGTCTGGTTGTGAGGTTCCGTCTGGGCCAGGCCTACTTGCACGAGGGGGAACCCACAAGGAGACCTCACGTTGCCGCCCTGTAAATCCCCTTCCCACCGTTTCCTCTTCCACTTCTCCTGGCAGCCCCCATCTCTTCACCTGTCCCTGCCTTCCTCTCTCCTTCCCACCCACCCACCCACCAACATTCTAACTTCAGTTATATGCCACTTTGCTCCACAAGGGGGACCTAAAGCAGCTAATTAATTCTCCTCTTCTACCTTTTATCCTCACAGCAGCCCCGTGAGTAGGTGAGGCTCAGTCTGTGTGACTGGCCCAAAGTCACCCAGCCAACTTCCATGGCAGAGCAGAGATCTGAATCTGGATCTTCCAGATCCTCGTTTGAAACTCTAACCGTTACACCGCTGGCTTTTGTGGAGTGGCTACTGCTGAACAGCAGCAAGCAGCCAGGCCTGAGTGAGTCATGCCAATCACACCTGAGGGTTGCAGCCAGGACGGGCCCTGAGGAATCTTCCCTAAAAGGGCAGAAGAGCCCTGGAAAGGGCCCTGCTCCCTTCCCCTGCCTTTCATTGACAGAAACCGAGGCTTCAACTTGCAGTACTGTTATGGTTGCCTAGCAGTGTCCACAGAGTACATTTGTTTCTTAAAGCCGCAGGCACTGCTTCTATTATTTGGGGTGGTTTTAACACCTGTTGTTGTTTTTTAAAAAGATTTCAGGTTTTTCTGCAAACCAAGATCTGTCTTGTCTATTCATGGCTCCAGACTCAGGATTTAAGTATCCACAGATTTAGCTAGGGTTGCCAGCCTCCAGGTGGGGCCTGGAGATCTTCCACTTTTACAACTAATTTCCAGCTGGCAGAGATCAGCTCCCCTGGAGAAAATGGCTGCTTTGAAGGGTGGGTTTTATGGCATTCGACCATGCTGAGGCCCCTCCGCAAACCTCGCCCTCTCCTGGATCCCCCCCCCCCAAAAGTCTCCAGGTGTTTTCCAACCCAGACCTGGCAAGCCTAGATTTACCCACATTGAGAATTAGATCTATTGATGATACTAGAGGAAAGGTATACAATATTTCTCCCCTTTTAAAATAGGTATGGGGGATCAAGTTACTTGACTACAAGCAAACAAGTGGAATGCCAGACGGGCAACTAAAACTGAACAGTTCATTTTCCTACACAGTAGTCACACCAAACCCACCACAGATCCTTGGGGGACTCCGCGGCTCATTTCCTTCCACTCTATGAGTCTCAATAAGAAAGACAGACTATAATTAAAGAATAATAATGTGAAGACTGGCGCTTTTATCCAACAGCTGCCAAGTTGCTAACTGCCAGGACCCTTTGCTGAAGGATTTTTGACAAATGCTTTTTGGAAGTCCAAAGACACTGGGTTGGCTCCTGAGCCACATCCTGAGCCCAGTGTGGTCCTGTTCGCGGTGCAGAACGGTCCTCCTCCACGCTCAGCCCACTGCTGGCTGTTCTGCTCCCTGAAATGCAGTTCCTGGGAATGGGTATGAGTAGAAGAGGAGTTAGGGTCCAGCCCATAATGGCTGCTGGATCACCCACGTCTCCCTTCTTGTGGATGCTTCGTAAGCATTCTGAAAGACCGACGAGGCAAGACTTCCCTTGGCAGAAGCCATGCCGATGCATCCTTGGCAAAAGCTGGTTCTTTATAGATATATGAATTATTTCAGTTTTTAAAAAAATATTTATTTTTGAATTTTCTAGATAAAATTGTTTCAGTTTTAATTGGGCTGTTGTGCCAGCATACCCAGGACCAGAACGTAAATTTACCCAATGAACTGGTTCAGTCATGACCTAACTTTATTGCATCTCCTTTTTTGGCTACCTCCCTAATTGCTTTCTCCATCTCAGGACCAAGATCCGGAGCTTCAGGGTCAAGGGAACCATGTTACGTTTTTGTCCGCCTGAGGTGAATCTGTAATACTGCGATCAGCATTGCCGTTAAAACTGAGCAAAGAGGAAGGCTGTTGATAAATGCAGCCCGGGAGGTAGATGCTGGACGGAGGACATCTGGCTGCCTGGACCCCAACTGAAGCCACTGTTCTCTCTCACACAGCACTGTCCAGTCTGAGGGGGAGCCGCTCTCAGAGGTTTTTCCTAGCCCTGTGACCTGAATGTGTTCCCCGTAAGGTTTCTTGTTGGCCTCTGCACCTCTTTTGACCCTCTCCCCCACACACACACTCACAGATAATGGAAGTTGCCCTGGGCTGACTGTAGATTTTATACCGAGGGATGACCCTAAGACAGGAGCTTCTGTATTTTATGTGTTTTGACAGTTCTGTTAGGCTCCGAATACTCCTGCAATATCCACATTCTCTTCAAATTCCAGATATTTGAGCTCCTCCATCTTGGCTTTGAGGCTTCTAGCAATATACGTGTGATTGTTTGCAAGAATATCTTTGAGTAGACAATTGATTCTCTGCAAGCTCATGACGTCTATCCTGCCCTCCGAGGGCACCGACCGTTCACACAATCCTCCCAACAAAAGTATCAGCTGTCCCAAACCAGAAGCTTCTCAGCTCTTGTCAGTTCACGTCTGAAGTTTCTCTATAACCTTTTTTGCTTTTAAGCTTTTGAGACTGTTTTCACCTTATTTCAAGTGGAGCTCATCTCTTTTACACAGGTCTCCATTGTCCCTGGTGTTCCCGGTGCCTAACAAACCCAAACCGTTCCGTTATCCATGCACTGAGTCCTCCTAGCTGGGAAACGTCTCTGAACATGCTGATGTGGAAGTCTGGGGTTTCGTCCTCATTGACAAGCAACCTCGTTTTGGCTTCTGCGATGTCACAGTTACATCTTTCAGTGTTCACTGTACAGACCTGTACCTCAACCTCTCTCCTGTGCTCTCAACAGCTTCTGTATGTGCTTTGGGATGTCCACCACCTTCTTACTGGCTGGTCATGCAGTGGATGTGCCCACTGCAAGCCTGTCTCTGTGTTTTTAATGATCAAGTGAGGCCAGATATAGCGTTGAAGACATATCCTTAGCTGGAGAAGACCTGAGAAATGGATCCGTTATAAGGGATCGTTTCACCTTTATTCCCTTACAGGCCCTTCTGCCCTAAGACATTCTTTGCAATACCAAAGGAGCTGCAACCCTGGGAATCATCTCTCTCTGCCATGCCCCTGAAGGTTCCATCTGCTCATCTCTTGGCCTCCCCCAGCATCCCTGGGTCATCTGCCGTAGTCTCACGGGGGGAATGGACGTTACTGCGTCAAACACTGCCCCCCCCCCCAGAGTACCTTCTGCCTAGGGGACAGGCGGGCCCCATCTGTGGACTCCTCCATAACTCCTAACTTCCCACTCTCTTTCTAGCGTCATGATCTTCCAAGGCTTTCCAATGCCCTGTTACAAACGGAATTCATCTCGGTAGGTATGTCTGCTACTTTGGTAATCTGGTGTGAGACTGAGGAGGTATACGTTCAAAGGAGCTCTGCTGCCTTGGGCACCTCTCCCTAGACAAGTTCTCCTGCTGCCTTGCCGCCTTGCTCTGCCATTGCGGCTCTCGCAGATAACTTCTAAAGGAGTATCATCCCTGGGCGGGGTGCTGTTGTTGTTGTTGTTGTTGTTCAGTCGCACAGTCGAGTCCGACTCTTCACGACCCCATGGACCACATCACGCCAGGCCCTCCTGTCTTCCGCCGTCCTCTGGAGTTTGCTTAATTTCATGTTCGTTGCATCGGTAACACTGTCTAACCATCTCGTCCTTCTTCTGTTACCTTCAGTCTTTCCCAGCATCAGGGTCTTCTCCCTTCTCATTTGGTGGCCACAGTATTTGAGCTTCAGCTTCAGTATCTATCTTTCCAGGGAACAGTCAGGGTTCATTTCTTTTAGGACTGACTGATTCGATCTCCTTGCAGTCCAAGGGACTCTCAAGCGTCTTCTCTAGCACCATAGTTCAAAAGGATCTATTCTTCGGTGCTCAGCCTTCCTTACGGTCCAGCTCTCGCAGCCATACATGACTACTGGGAATACCATCGCTTTGACTATGTGGAGTTTCATTGGCAGGGTGATGTCTCTACTTTTTATTATGCTGTCTAGGTTTGCGGTAGCTTTCCTCCCAAGGAGCAGAGGCCTTTTAATTTCATGGCTGTAGTCACCGTCTGCAGTGATCTTGGATCCCAGGAACATGAAGTCTGTCACTGCTTCCACGACTCCCTCTTCTATTTGCCAAGGAGTGATGGGGCCAGATGCCATGATCTTAGTTTTTTTGATGTTGAGTTTCAAGCCAACTACCCTGAGCAAGAGGCTCTTTAGGTCCTCTTCACTTTCTGCCATTAGAGTGATATTGTTTGCATATCTGAGGTTGTTGATCTTTTCCCCAGCAATTTTAATTCCCGCTTGTGATTCATCCAGTCCAGCATTTTGCATGATGTACTCAGCATATATATTAAATAAGCAAGATGACAATATACATCCTTTTCGTACTCCTTTTCCTATGTGAAACCAATCAGTTGTTCCATATCCGGTTCTAACTGTCGCTTCTTGGCCCTTATACAGGTTTCTCAAGAGACATGTGAGGTGGTCTGGTACTCCCATCTCTTTAAGGACCTGCCATAGTTTGTTGTGATCCACACAATCAAAGGCTTTAGCATAGTCAATGAAGCAGAAGTAGATGTTTTTCTGGGACTCTCTTGCTTTCTCCATAATCCAGTTAATGTTGGCAATTTGATTGTACTTCTGGCAGTTCTCTATCCACGTACTGTTGAAGCCTAGTTTGTAGGATCTTGAGCATGACCTTGCTAGCGTGTGAAATGAGTGCAATTGTGTGATAGCTTGAACATTCCTTGGCATTGCCCTTTTCTTTGGGTTTGGGATGTAAACTGACCTTTTCCAATCCTGTGGCCACTGTTGCGTTTTCCAAATTTGCTGGCAAATTGAGTGCAGCACTTTAACAGCATCATCTTTTAAGACTTTGAATAGCTCAGCTGGGATACCATCACCTCCACTAGCTTTGTTGTTAGTAATGTTTTCTAATTTTTATGCCCACATGACTTTACACTCCAGGAGGTCCTTCTTGTATAGTTCTTCTGTGTATTCTTGCAATTTTTCCCTAATTTCTTCTGCTTCTGTTAGGTCCCTACCGTTTTTTTCCTTTCTCATGGCCAGTTTTGCACGGAATGTTCACTTGATTTCTCCAATTTTCTTGAAGAGATCTTTAGTCCTTCCCATTCTATTGTTTTCCTCTATTACTTTGCATTGTTCATTCAGGAAAGCCTCCTTATCTCTCCTTGCTGTTCTTTGGAAATCTGCATTCAGTTGGGTAAATCTTTCCTTTTCGCCTTTGCCTTTTGCTTTCCTTCTTTCCTCTGCTATTTGTAAAGCCTCATCAGACAGCCGTTTTGCTTTCTTGCATTTCTGTTACTTCGGGATGGTGGTGATTGCTGCCTCCTGTACAATGTCACAAACCTCCATTCATAGTTCTTCAGGCACTCTGTCTATCAAATCTAGTTCCTTAAACCTATTCTACACCTCCACTGTATATTCATCAGGGATGCGATCTAGGTCAAACCTGAATGGCCTAGTGGTTTTCCCAACTTTCTTCAGTTTAAGCCTGAATTTTGCAATGAGTAGCTCATGATCTGAGCCACAGTCAGCTCCAGGTCTTGTTTTTACTGACTGGATAGAGCTTCTCCATCTTTGACTGCAAACAATATAATCAATCTGGTTTCAGTGTTGCCCATCTGGTGATGTCCACGTGTAGAGTCGCCTCTTAGGTTGTTGGAAGAGGGTGTTCGCTATGACCAGCATGTTCTCTTTGTCCGGCTTCATTTTGTTCTCCAAGGCCAAACTTGTCCATTATTCCAGTTACCTTTTGACTTCCTACTTTAGCATTCCAGTCCCCTACGATGATGAGGACATCATTTTTTGGTGTTAGTTCTGTGAGGTGTTGTAGGTCTTCACAGAACTGGTCCGCTTCAGCCTCTTCTGCGTCAGTGGTTGGGGCACATATTTGGATCACTGTGATGTTGAATGGTTTGCCTTGGGCCGAGATCATTCTGTTGTTTTTGAGATTGTATCCCAGTACTGCCTTTCACACTCTCTTGTTGACTATAAAGGCCACACCATTTTTCCTATGGGATTCTTGGCAGATGGGGGGTGGCTTCCACCTTCCCAATCAGAAAATGGTTTCTTTTGGTTTTGCAGCACAGTGCTGATGTAGGGATGCTTTCTGCTTGGAAAATCTCCAAAATGGGTCAAACTTTTACAGGACCACAGTCAGGACCTGAAAAGTTTTTTAAAAAATTATGAAAATTGGTCATAGTGTCAATGGACCTGAAAACTTTCTTAAAAATAGATTTTTGGAAAAATCAGCCAAAGTTTCACAGGACTGCGGTCAGGACCTGAAAAGTAAACTGAAAATCAAGAAAATTAATTTTCTTTCTCCTGAAAAGTTCAAAGTGATTTCCGAATGCAATAAGAACAAGTAAAATAAATTCATTCCAAAGCAACAATTACTTTAGCTGCACTGTTAAAAAAACAGTAATGGTATCAATGCGTTAGCGACTTTGATCAACGTTTGTCTGGCATGTCCCCTGGAATTTCGGAATGGGCACACCACCACGGAGAACGCCCGGCCCCACCTACCAGCTCTTTCTCTTGGTGAATGAGGAAGCACCAATCAAGCCCATATCCATAGTTCTCAAGTGAGGAGGCAGAGGGGTATGTGGAAGACACCCACAGGAGTCGCAGACTGGCCGATGCTGGGCTGATTGCCCACCTGATTGGCAGAGGGAATAGGCGGGGAATGTGAGAAAACAAATTTTGGGATTTTAGTGAAAAGTTCTGCAACGCCCACAGAAAAATTATTTTACATTTTACTTTATGTTTTTAAGTTGTAGGCCACTTTCCAGTACTGGGAAGAAAAATTCTAAAGTATCTGGTTTAAACCTGAAGCCCTGGACTCTTATTCATTTTTATTTCCATTAACTTTATTTGTAGGCTGCCTGTCTTGCTGAGACTCAAGGCTGGCTACAGAATAGAAACAGTGTCCTCACAGAGCATAAGATGCCCAGTGAACAGACTTAAAAGTCAATGTGAACTGCAAGTGGCCGAAGGCAAGGTCTACTAGAAGCAGTGTAGTCCATGGAATTACAAAGGTGGTGCAGCAGAGGCAAGGCCAAGCCTAGCGTAACTATTGCATTGCAGCACATTAGGGGCCCCCAACCTTTTGGGGCCCTTTGGGGGGCACCTCTGGAATTCTGACACAGGGTGGTGGGGGCCCAGTCACAAAACGGCTGCTGCGGGAGGCGGTGCCACACACACGGAGGAAGCCCAAGCGATGAGGAGAAGAGGGGGCAACCTTAAAAATACGCTGGGGAAAAGGACAGTAGCGACAGCGACCACAGAAGCAAAGTTATCTTAATCTGCACAGCCGATCAGATCTCCAGTGGCCAATCAGAAGCCATGCTTCGTAAAAAAAAACACAACCCCCCCCCCCAACCTGGATGATTATTTTTGTGTTTGGTGTAAAGTAGCTTTCCACAGGCAGGGATCATGGTTTGATTTTGTATGGCATGTGAAGAGGAAACTGAAACGAAAAGGGAAACGTAGGGATGGGCATGGACCCAAACTCCGAGCTTGCAGCCAGTTCGTGCAGATTTCCAATCTCATGACAGATCAAGCAGTCAATTTTTTATTAATACTTGCAGACCAACAGGTCATAAGCAGTGTTCCCTCTAAGCTGAGTTAGTGTGAGCTAGCTCACAGTTTTTTAGCCTTCGGCTCACATGTTTTTGTCTTAGCTCAGGAAGAATGGCTCCAGAGCAAACTAATTTATGCAGTGGCCAAAATGCTCACTCGCAACTTTAATGCCAGTAGCTCACAAAGTAGAATTTTTGCTCACAGGACTCCACAGCTTAGAGGGAGCATTGGTCATAAGCAAATAGGATGAGGTTATGTTAATGTGCAGGCAACGTGAGAAGCACAAATATACAGTGTGAAAAACTGAGTGCATTTTTAGCAGTAAGAGGTGATGCCATTAAAAGCCATAAAAAAAAATTTGCAACTCCAAGAGTCACACTTGGATCCGTATCTGCTAGAAACTTAGCTACAACCTCTTGTTTTGTGACAAAACTCCATTTTTGGATATAGGTTGTGATCCGTCTGTCACGTGCCAAAACGTATTGCTGCAGTCCTTAAAGAAATGCCAGACGGTGTCTAACTCACTGACTTTGCAGTCCCATTGGTGCGCAGAGAAAGGAATTCCTAGGAAACTGCCTGCTAGTTCCCCTAGTAGTAGGACATTTAGTCTTGCCTCTTAGAGAATAATATTCTGTATTTGGGTTGTGCGGATATACATGTTGTTGCACAGGCAGGGCAGGGCAGGGCAGGGAGCCAGTGACGCCTACTGCGGCTAGTGCCCGACAGGACAACAGGAGGGAAGGGGCAGCCGACTGGGGACCCAGACAAACAGGTGGAGTGAGATTTGGCTGACCACCCTAGATGGGACGGGGGGAAGTCACACTTTCCCTGCCTCGCCGGGTCTGTCCTTTCCACAGAGTAGCGGCGGGGCAAGCGTGAGCCCTCGGGGGGGGGAGGGTGAACTGGGGCCTGTTGCGCTTTTTCGCTTGGCCCAAGCAAGCACCCAGTGGAGGAGAAAAGGGGGAACCAGTTTTTCCCCTTTGCCGTTGTTTAAACAGACGGTCGGAGGTTTCTTCTCATGACAAATTTAGATGAGGCCATGAGGTTCTCTCTTCCCTCTCTCCTCCCTCTCCACTATTGCTAAAAGAAGGAGGGGGGCATTCCTTGCCCACTGGGATGGGCAGCAGAGCCTAGAACTCAGCTGGAGCTGAGAAGATCCCCTTCCCCACCAGGAAGTATGGATGTGCTTCTGGGACCTTTTCACTTATGGAATCTCAGAGTTGGAAGGGGCCCTAGAGGCCATCTAGTCCAACCCCCCCGCTCAATGCAGGATCAGCCTAGAGCATCCCTGACAAGAAGTGTTTGCCTAGCTGCTGACTAAAGACTGCCAGTGAGGGGAGCGCACCACCTCCCTAGGCAGCTGATTCTTACTGTAAAAAAGTTTTTCCTAAGATCCAGCCGGTCCCTTCCCACCCTTAATTTGAACCCATTCTTGTGAGTCCTCTCCCCTGCTGCCAACAGGAACAGCTCCCTGCGCTCCTCCAAGGGACACAGCCCTTCAGATACTTAGAGAGAGAGCCATCCTGTCCTCCCTCAGCCTCCTCTTCTCCAGACTGAACCTTCCTAAGAAGTCCCTCAGCCTTTCCTCGCAGGGCTTCTTGGTCTCCAGGCCCCCGATTATCCTCGTCACTCTCCTCTGCACCCGCTCCATTCTGCCCACATCCTTTTTGAAGTGAGGTTTCCAGAACTGCACACAGGTCTCCAGGTGTGGCCTGACCAATGTGGTGTACAGCGGGACTATGACATCTTGCGATTTGGAGGTTATGCCTCTGTGGATACACTCCAAGACCGCATTAGCCTTTTTTGTTGCTGCATCACACTGCCTGCTCATATTTAATTTATGGTCCAACCGAACCCCAAGACCTTGTTCACACACTGCTACCCAGGGGTGTATCCCCCATCCAGTATGGGTGTTCCTCATTTCTGTTACCCAGGTGTAGAACTTGGCACTTGTGCTTGTTAAACTGCCTCTTGTTCACATCTTGTTCCTATCCGCCCACTTCTCTTCCTTCCTTAGAAAGCCAGAATCACCCAAGCCACTCCCAGGGTAGGGTATAAATTGAACTAGACCATCAGACGTTTAATCTGGCCTGGCACAGCTGGTCTGGGAAGCTGCTCAGACGTGCCGTGTACAGAAAGGCTGTCCGCGAGGACCAGCTTCCCTTCCTTGGAGTGGCCTCCGAGCCTGACTTTTCCCAGGGGGAACTAGACCGAGTGCTGTTCTGATTCAGACAGTGAGGCCAAAACGGAGCAACAAATGCCTGATGAGCCCTGGCCGGGATGGCCCAGGCCAGCCCGATCATGTCGGATTATGGGAGCTTCACGGGGTCTGTCCTGGCTAGTACTTGTATCGGAGATCAGCCGGGAAGACCCAGGTTCACACCTCTCTCTCTCTCTCTCTCTCTCTCTCATATATGGGACACCCCCAGGATCCTGGATGGAGAGGCCCAGGGGCTGCTGAAGTCTCCGGTGCCCTTCCTCCTGGGCCACAGCCTCTCCAGAGATGGCATGGATTCGTTCAGCAAACACTTTGAGAGCATCATGGAGTCCCACCGAGCCAAGGGCACGTCCTACACCAGCCTGGACTCCATCGACATCCTGTCCTCCCCTTCTCACACCCACACTGGCACCTACTTCACGTTTGACCTCCCCACCCTGACCCCAGATATGCAGGAGCAGATTCGAGACAGTGCCAAGCTCATCGAGCAGAACTTTGCCCCGCTGGCCCTCCTGGAGCCAGACTCTGGGACTAGCTCTGCCACAGACGCCCCCTGGACTGAGAGAGAGGAGGGCCCCCAGCCGGGCCGGAAGAGCCCCTGCAGCCGCTCGGAGGACAGCTCGGGGACCCCCCTGGCCTCCCTCGCCAGGTGAGTGTGTGGGGACTCTGGTTCTCTGGTGGCCAGAGGCCTTCACCGTGCCCGTGTGGCTGGAGTATCTTCTTTACGGCGGTCTGTTGCCTCTGTGGTAGGACAGAAGCGCAGTGTGGGGAGGGGGTGGGCGCGGCGGCATCTGTCTTTCTGGGGGGTATCACTGCCCTGCAAATCAAGCAAGATGAGATAAGCGGGCGTGAGAATGAGAGGAGAATAAGTGTAGATGTATCTAGCCTCCTCCAAGGGCTGCTCTTCAGTCTTTCTGGTCGTTCTAGATGTTCTTCTAGAAGGAGGTGTGGGGGTGTTGTGCCTTGTGTCACAATAATTAGGACCGCACCAAAACTTTGTTGCTGAGCTTTGATGCACAGACTGCTGTTTGAAAAGACATGTTTATACCCCACCTTCCTCCCCTGCGGGGACCCGAAACGGCTTACATCCTTCTCCACTTTATCCTCAACAACAACCCTGCGAGGTAGGTTAGGCCAAGAGTGTGTGTGCGAATGGCCCAAGGTCACCAAGTGAACTTCTATGGCATGAGTGAGGATTCAAACCTGGGCCTCCCAGATATTAGTTTCATCCTCTAACCAAGATACCACACTAACATAAACATTGTCTGGATTTTTAAAAAACAAAAATATGAGCCTTTTTTTTTAGGGTCACAATTTTTGTGGAAGGGTTCCACTGATCTTTGAAAAGCCGGAAGGAATTGTGCAGTGAGTGATGATTGTGGGGAGGTGCGTGTAACCACTAGAAGACTTGAAGAAGCAACGAGAATTCCTAACAAACTCTGCATTCTGTGAAAATGATTTCATACAGTTCTTTATTATGTGTAATCTCTGGAAAACTCAGAGGGCCTGAACGTCTTCAAGGACAGGACAGTTTTTACAAGTTTGAAGTGCTCTGTTTTCTGTTTGAAAGCTTGGAAGTATTTGTACTGTCTGATCACCACAGTGTATCATATAGCCATTCATTTACACTCTGTTGTCTTTAGTCAGAACAGGGAATGAAGTGGGAGGCAAGATTTTTTCTTAGGTGAGCTTAATAACTTTAAGCAACCCATCAGTGCTAAATTAGAAGATGCAGAAGAACAAGATAAAAGGGTAATGGATTTGGGACGCAGGGATGAACAGTTTCTGTCAAGAGCTCTCTCAGCCCCACCCACCTCACAGGGTGTCTGTTGTGGGGAGGGGAAGGGAAAGGAGTCTGTGAGCCCCTCTGAGACACCTTTGGGTAGTGAAGGGCCATGGGGCATACATCCAATCTCTTCTTCTCTCAAGAGCAGTCCTCGAAAGAGCTCTCTCAGTCCCACCTACCTCACAGGGTGTCTGTTGTGGGGAGGGGAAGAGAAAGGAGTTTGTAAGCCGCTCTGAGACACCTTTGGGTAGGGAAGGGCCATGGGGTATAAATCCAATTTCAGTCATTCAGTCAGTCAGGCATTTATTACGGCAACAAGCCATAGAACACACATGCTTAAAAAGTCCAATCTCTTATTCTTGGTGTGGCACTTGCCCAGGGGTATTCTAGAAAGCATGTATATTAATGTGCTTCATTTGCATAATTAGAAAACAATTTGCATGACATGCATGTGAAGACTGCCCTGATTAACATAAGGGAACATAAGAGACGCCAATGTTGGATCAGGCCAAAGGCCCCTCCAGTCCAACACTCTGTCACACAGTGGCCAGAAATACCAGGTGCCCTCAGGAGGTCCAGCAGTGGGGCCAGGACACTAGAAGCCCTCCCACTGTTGCCCCCTCCCCCCCAGGCACCAAGAATACAGCGCATCCCTTGCCCCAGAGCCCCTATCTATACCTTGTGGCTCATAGGGGCCACTGAGGGATTGGTTGGGGTGTGGCTGCTGTCACAGGCCCAGAGGTTTCTCTTCCTAGTGAAGCTGCCGAGGGCGGGAGGCAGAAGGGAATTCCTTCTCTTGCCCTCTCCCATTTGTCAGTGGGGGGCCTCACTGCCTCGGGCCCTCTGGCCTCTCGCTGCTGGACCCTGAGAGCCACTCAGCTCCTGCTGGCTCCGGGCAAGCAGGGGGGGGCGGCGGCGGCATCTTCCGCCCTCGGTGTTGACCCCCAGTGTGACTCTGGCGTGGCTTTCCGAGACCTGCGGAGGCCCTGGAGCCTCTGGCATAGGCATGGCATCACTTGGCCAAGGCAGGGCCTTTCTGCCACCAGGGTGACAGTGCGCCCCGCCAGTTAGTGTGCCCCAGACAGAGCCTGGGAACCAGAG